ATAATAAATCACTGGGTGATCTGATTATAAATTCCTAACAGGGCAGACCATGGTGGGTAATCAACATCCCAGGCATATAACTTCCTTAGTAAAGAGTTATCTTTGCCTTAAGGAAGTCCTGCTCATTGTTTCTGTGCATCTATATTAACACATATTTAAAATACCTATTTTCCATAACCCTCAGAGGGTAACCACCGTCAAGAAAGTACATTTTTAATTGTATTTTATTGATTATGCTATTACAGTTGTCCCAATTTTCTCCCTTTGACCCCTCCACCCAGCACACCCAACTCCCTTGGGCAATCCCCACATTATTGTTCATGTTCATGGGTCATGCATATAAATTCTTTGGCTACTCCATTTCTTATACTGTACTTTACATCCACCTGGCTATTCTGTAACTACCTATTTGTACTTCTTAATCTCCTCACCAATTCACCTATTTACCCCTCCAATCTGGTAACCATCAAAATGCCCTCTGTATCTATGATTCGGTCTCTGTTCTTCTTGTTTGCCTAGTTTGTTTTTCATATTCAATTGTTGATGGATCTGTATGTATTGCCATTTTATTGTTCATAGTCCCTTATACATTTCATATAATAATGATTTGGTAAGGATGACCTCCTTTAGTTTTTTTCTTGTTTGGGGAGCTCTTTATCTGCCCTTAAATTCTGAATGATAGCTTTGCTGGGTAGAGCAATCTTGGCTGTAGGTCCCTGCTTTTATGACTTTAAATATATCTTTCCAATCCCTTCTAGCTTGCAAAGTTTCTTTTGAGAAATCAGATGACAGCCTTATGGGAACTCCCCTGGAGGTAACTACCTGCTTTTCTCTCGCTGCTTTTAAGATTCTCTCCTTATCTTTAATCTTTAGCATTTTAATAATGATATGTCTTGGAGTGGGCCTCTTTGCATCCATCCTGTTTGTAGCTCCTTGTTTGGGGTTCCATGCTCACTATATTTGCATGTCTATTTCCTTCATCAAATTAGGGAAATTTTCTTTCATTATTTTTTCAAACATTTCCAATTTCTTGCTCTTTGTCTTCTCCTTCTGGGACTCTCATGAAGCGAATGTTGGAGTGCTTGGAGTTGTCTCAGAGGCTGCTTACACTATCCTCATATTTTTGGATTCTTTTTTCTTCTTCTTGTTCTGATTGGTTGCTTTTTGCTTCCTTACATTCCAAATAATTTATTTGATTCTCAACTTCATCCACTCTGCTGTTGTTTCCCTACAAATTCTTCTTCATTTTAATTAGTGCATCCTTTGTTTGTGACTGGGTCTTTTTTATGCTGTTAGAAATCCTCACTAAGTTTCTTGAGCATCCTTATAACCAGTGTTTTGGACTCGGCATCCAATAGATTGCTTATTTCCATTTTGTTTAGTTCTTTTTCTGGAGCTTTGATCTATTCCTTTATTTCAGCCATGTTTCCTTGTTTCCTCATTTTGGCAGCCTACATATGTTTGTTTCTATGTATTAGGTAGAGCTCCAACCTCCACCCTCCATTCTCCTCCACCCTCCACCCTCTGTGGAGGCTCAACTGTGCAGGGGCAGAATGGTGGTGCTATGATGTGGTCTACAATTGTCCAGTGGGTGCACAGGGTCTGGGGTTTCCTGGGTGGTGCAGGCCAAGGTCACCCCCACTTGTGTTCTGCCCAGGGGCACCCTGACTGAGCTATAAAGCAATCTGAAATGGCTGCTACTTGTGATTGGAGATTCCCAGCCAAAGTCAAGCTGTGCACCTAGGCTGGCTGCTGCTAGTGCCAGGCCTGGGGCCACTTAGCAAGAGGTATGGGGGCTGGAAGCTGGGACTTACTGAGGCTGGGTGGGTGTTTGATAGGATTTAGGAAGTTGTGAAGCATGAGCCAAGACCAACCATTCACATGTAAGAGCAGATTGGGTGGGCAGATTGTTGTGGTGGATGGCATCTCTGGGGATCCCCAGGGCAAACAGTGTTAGCTAGGTTGATGGAGACTCAGATATGGCACCCACCTGCCAGCTGTGGCTTTGTGGAGGAAAGGTTCAGAAAGGGGACATTGGCCTCTGCCCACCTTTCTGTCTGGAGAAAGCTATCTCCAAGCTCCCATCCTGATGACAGACACTTCAGCTTCTCCCTCTATGCCATTGATGCCTTTCAAGTTGCTATCCTGATGCTGGAGCTCAGAGGGAGTGAGTCTGAGTAAGTTCATGTGTGGGATCTTTTAAGGAGAACTGCTTGGGACTCCATAAGTTTCTTCCATTGACTCAATCCCTGCTGGGTTTTGTGGCCAGAAGTTATGGGAACTTATCTTCCTGTCACTGGAACCCTGGGATGGGGTCCTGGTGTGGGGCTGGGACTCCTCACTCCTGAGATATCCCTCCCAAATTTTTATCCACAACATGTGGATGTGGGACCAGCCCATTTCACATCTCCATCCCTCCTACCAGTTTGGATGGATGTGGTTTCTTTAATTCCATAGTTGTCAGGCTTGCATTCAACTTGATTTCTGATGGTTCTGAGTGATGGGTGTTCTATACTTTAGGCATAATTTTAATGTGGTTTTACGAAGAGGTGAGCCATGTTTACCTATGCCACCATCTTGCCCTGAAGTTACAACAGAGCACATTTTTAACTAGCCTGTACAGTAATCCTATCTCCACCTTGCTTTCTCCCACCTTCATGTACTATTCTTTATGTTTCCTCTTTAATTTCAAATGCAAAATAGCAACTGCAAACTGTCATTCTCGGAAGCGTTTTTTACAGTCTCTTGAGATCTTGCTTCCAGGTGTATCCTCTGTCTGAATCCAATAAATGCTAGGCTCTTTTAAATTTTCTACAGGTTTGTAAGTTCTTATCTGACATCATAAAGCCTTGTTATTTTAGTGCACTGTGTTACAGAACTCTAGGTTTTTCAGGAACTGCATGCATCAGATTATAATAACAGAACCATCGGTACTCAAATTGAAACAGGTCTTCTCTCTTCCAACAAGCATTCTTGGTGGGTCCTAATCTGCCCTACAGGTAGCCAGGATCCAGGTACCCCTCTACCTCGGAGAGTGGAACAACCCCCAGGGGGGCTGTGAGGCAGTTCTCTAGAGTTTGGGAACCAGAGCCCAATGGAGTTCCCCTCTTCTATCCTCCCTCCAGACCCTCAGACCACTCAGGAGAGGCCAAGTGAAAAGACCCAGAATTTTGCCCTTTACAAGCTTGCAGATCTTGAACAAGCCACTGAACCGCTGCCAGCTCTTTCCTCTTTCCCCCTCTTTTTCAGGGGCATTTCAGAGGGGAGTGTATTGGGAGACAGGGTAAAAAAAGGTGATGGGATTAAGAAGTGCTACTTTGCCATGTATAATGCGCACCCACATTTTGGGCCCAAACTTTCAGAGAAAAATCTTTTAAGTTTTTAATTCAATTATTTATTTAGTTATATTTAGATACTTGGGCTTTTTGTATTATAAAGGAATTTTAGCACTTATTTGTGAACATACTATGGTACAAGAAATTTCACGTAACAAATAATTACAAAACACAAGAACAGATACAAGGTGCAAGGAATGTTATGTACCTGTAACAAATTTAAAATATTTATACATCAAAGAAGGCCAAGAACTCTTTATCACTGTCAATATCAGAAGTATTATCTTCTTCAATTTCTACATTACTGGTGTCTTTTGAAGAGTCACTTTCCTCATCCTGGTAAATTTCAGCATCCTCAGTTCCATCCATAGCATTGCTGGTGCCGCATTTTTTAAACCATTCCACAACCACTTCCTTCTTGACACCATTCCATGATCTTAGGATCCAATCACAAACCTGAGCGATGGATGCTTTCTTGATCCTGCTTATAGGTGATTAAATCATTACCAGCTGACTGTATCCAAGATGTCCACTCTTTCTTCTTTAGGGCCTTAAAGGGCTTGTTTACTGACACATCAAGAGGTTGCAGTTGGCTGGTTAGCCCAACAGGTATCACAGCAAGTTGAGTTTTCAAGTTTACTGTGATTGCTTTTGCACTTTGTGTAATGTGTGCTTTTAAGTGATCAAAAACAAGCAAAGCCGGTTTAATACAGAATTAGTACTACCCATGTATAATGCACACCCTTATTTTTCCCTCAAAAATTTGGGTACAAAAGTGCGCATTATACATGGCAAAATATGGTGACTGGTAGTTACAAAACAGTCATGAGGATGTAGGGTAGTGCATAGGGAACATAGCTAACAATACTGTAATAACTATTTATGGTATCAGATGGGCACTTCAATTATCAGAGGGAACACTTTATAACCTATAAGAATGTCTGTCAGTTGTGCTGTATACCTGAAACTAATACAAAAAAAAAGTGTTGAATTCAAACTGTAATCGAAAAAATAAATTTAAAAATTAATAAAATGAATTCATGGGCTGACATTTTTACATCACAGTTTTGTTTTATAATTTAAAAATCCGCCTTTGATTCCTGCCATGTCATTTATAGTTCTAGACCTGGGCTTCAATTCAACTGTACAATGGGGTCTAAGCCCTCTCTGCCTCCCACCCACTAATCAAAGTTCCTATCACGCATGGGAGGCGGGGATTCTTGCGGGTAGGAGTTCTGACTGAGGAGACAGAGGAACCCATAGCTTAGGGGGGAAGGCAGATGTGGCTGTGTTATCCCCGGGACAGCAAACACATCCTTCCAGCCCTGTCTTCCTCGCAGAGGCCTCGCCGTTGACCCGTCTCGCTAGCGTGCTGGTGCCACCAACCAACTCCAGAAGCCAGGGGTTGTGGGCTGCCTCCCGCAGCGCGGGTCCGAGAGCGGACTACGTTTCCCGGCGTGCACCTAGATAGGGACCCCCCCCCCACCCCCACCCCGGGGCCTTGGAGCAGCCGCGACCACGTCCGGGCAAAGATAAAGGCTCTGGGCAGTAGCCATCCTTTACACAGCACCTTTTCGCTTTGCGAAGCGTGTCTGACGCCCTCGACCCGACCCTGGGCCGTAGTCCCCGCAGGGTCTGTGAGGCACGCTCCCCTGTTCTTCTTACCTCTTTCAGGCGTTCGGCCTCTGGGTCTCAGGAAGGATCCGAGGCCAGGCTTTTCACCCCCGGAGGATTCCTTGGCCCCACGAAGTCCGCACTTCTGTCAGTGGCTGGCAGAGGGGTTCTGGGCAGGGGGCTGGCCGGGAAGCCGCACAGTGGAAGACTACAACTCCCAGGCGGCACCGCGGCGGCAGCGACACGTCACTCAGGCATCGCCAGAGGCCGGGGGAAGCAGCGCGGGCGGGGGCAGGGGCTGGGGCCGACCTGGAGGCTGGTGCAGAGGATGGGGGCCGCTTGGCCGCCCCGAGCTTGAGCAGGCCGAGGGGCGCGCCACCCCGTCCTGGGGCGGGCGCCCCCGGGCCCGCCACCCCCGCCCCACCCGGCGGTCGTGGCCCGGGATGCGGAGCCGGGGGCCGCCGGTGGAGCTGCGCGGGGTGAGAGGTGCGGGGAAGGGGGCTGCCAGCTGCCCTCGCCCTCGTCCCCCACCGGCGGGCCCCGGCAGGAATTCGGGAACCGAGCGGCCAGGCCTTCTTGGTGCCCTGACATTCGAGAGGGACCGGTGAACCCGCTTCCCTACCCCCACCCCGCCCCGCCTGGACAGCTGAATCAGAGCTGACGACCCTGCCCTTTTAAAAGCGACTTCTTCCTGCTCCTGCGGAGGGCCCCCCAGCAATGGCCCCCAGGAACCCCCTAGAACCCGCAGGGACTGCCCCCCATCCTGGGCACCGGGGCCCGCCCTCTGCAGCCCGCGGGCAGCCTGTCTGAAGAGGTGTCCCGCAGCCCCCGGCCCCTCCCCCATGGAGGAGGAGGAGGGGGGCGCGGCGGCCAAGGAGTGGGGCACGACCCCCGCGGGGCCCGTCTGGACCGCAGTGTTCGACTACGAGGCGGCGGGAGACGAGGAGCTGACCCTGCGGAGGGGCGACCGCGTCCAGGTGCTTTCACAGGACTGTGCGGTATCGGGCGACGAGGGCTGGTGGACCGGGCAGCTACCCAGCGGCCGTGTGGGCGTCTTCCCTAGCAACTACGTGGCCCCAGCTGCACCCGCTGCACCCGCCAGCCTCCAGCTGCCCCAGGAGATTCCCTTCCACGAGCTGCAGCTAGAAGAGATCATCGGTGTAGGGGGCTTTGGCAAGGTCTATCGGGCCCTGTGGCGTGGCGAGGAGGTGGCCGTCAAGGCCGCCCGGCTGGACCCTGAGCGGGACCCGGCAGTGACAGCAGAGCAGGTGCGCCAAGAGGCCCGGCTCTTCGGAGCCCTTCAGCACCCCAACATCATTGCCCTAAGGGGAGCCTGCCTCAGCCCCCCACACCTCTGCCTGGTGATGGAGTATGCCAGGGGGGGCGCACTGAGCAGGGTGCTGGCAGGTCGCCGGGTGCCCCCTCATGTGCTGGTCAACTGGGCTGTGCAGGTGGCCCGGGGCATGAACTACCTACACAATGATGCCCCTGTGCCCATCATCCATCGGGACCTCAAGTCCATCAACAGTAAGTGGTGTCCTCCCCCAAAACTTGCTTTCACAGAACCTTAGGAAACCAGGCCTAGGTGGCGGGAAATGGGGACACCTGAAAACACTGCCTGGGGCAGGAAGGGGCAGCAGTATACCTGCAGGGTCCAGAGTCCGACCTGCCCCATTCAGGGAGAAAAGGGTTGCTCAGAAAGGTCGAAAGACTACCTGCCTCGCAGTCTACAGAGTCACAGTAGCTCAGTGACTACGGATCTGTGAACACTGTGACAGGCCCTGCCTCCCCAGTGTGAACAGGGCAGATGCAGTGCCTGCCCTCATGGTGCTCCCTGTCCATCCAGGACGCCAGCATCCGCCAGGCAGAGACAAAGAGAACCTGGCCTAGAGTGAGAGTTTCTCAACCGTAGTGCTACTGACCCTCCGGGAGGGGTGATCATAGGGTCTGTCTTGTGTGTTGCAGGTCGTTCAGGAGCATCCTTGGTCTCCACCCACTAGATGCCGCTAGCATTCCGCACCCCACCCCCACCTCCAGCTATGATAAGCAAAATGTCTCCAGACATTGCCAAATGTCCCCTGGGGGCAAAACTGTCCCTAGTTGAGAACCACTTCCTGGCATCCTACACCTCTGCTCCAGCTGGCTGAGGCAACTGGGAAAGATGAGGAAGAAGGAAAAGGGATGCATCTTATAGAAAGGCTTCCAGGCTGCTGGGCCTAAAGCGGGCTCTCAGAAGTTGATTGGTTGTTGAATGAGGAAGGGGACCAGGTAAAAGGGAAGGCTCCCCAGGACCCACACAAATCTAGGTCAAGGAGCTTCTCGTGACATCAACAAATATTAATTGAGCACCTAGTAAGTAGGAGCCAAACAGGGAACAAGATGGCCATGATTTCTGCCCTAATGATACCTGCAAACTAGAAATTTCATTCATTCCCAGATAGTTCCATAGCACCTCTTGTATCCCAGACCCCGTGCCGGCTTTTAAGGATTCAACAGGGGAAAATCCTACCTTCCTGGCTCTCCTATCCTTCTTCTGCCCCCTCCCATCTCCTTCCATTTCTGCATTTATTTATTGACTCTTTAATTTCGTATTTACTGGGCCAGATCATGTGCTAAGTGAGAGGGATCAGTGGTGGATAACACCAGCATGTTCCCCGCCCTCACTGTGAAGGGCTCTCCCCAGCCCTCACAACTTATCTGTCTCTCATCCCTGTCAATGTGACATGTTGAAATTTGTTTGAATCCATCCCACAATTTTTGTAAGTTTGTTGCTATGCCCCTACCACCACCTAAAACAGAGGGGTGAGTCTTCCTTACCTGCCAGGCCTGGCATTCGTACACTCAGCAGAGAGCTTCCAAGAGTCCGAGGTGTGGCAAGCTCTGAGCCAGGGCTGGAGAGTGAAACAAAACAGACATAGTTGGTCCCTGCCTTCAGAGATGCTCATGCTCGAACTCCTCTGAAATGCTGGGTAAGTGGAGGCAGGACCACCTGACTGCTGCTTCTGAAGACTGGGACGCCTCAGCTCTTCCTCACCTCTGCTAATTCACAGCCTGCAGTTGGGGTATAAGGATGCTGCGGTCTCACCCCATGTTTTTGTGTAGCCAGTGCCACATGGACAAAGCGTTGGTGGGACTCTGTAGGCCAGAGCTTCCTGCTCAGGCAATGGGACTGCTCCATGCCTGAGACAGAGAGGACATGGGGCCCCGACAGCCCCCCTTCCCCCTGGCCCCTGTCCCTAAGGAGCTCCTCACCTGATGTCGTGCATTCATTGGGTCTTTCAACCAATAATTCATAAGCAGAATTAAGCATACCAGGCACTGTGCAAGGCTCTGGGATTACAGAAGTGAACAAGGTGAGGTTCCCCCCTCATGAAAGTGACAGTCTAGTAAACAGAAATAGGTGATTGATATTCAGATAAAATTTCCAGGAAGTATCAGGCTCTGAAGGAAATAAAGCAAATTAAAGATGGGGCAGAGAGCTCTTTGCATCAGATGGTCAGGGAAGGCAACATTTGAGCAGAGACCTGAACAAAGAGGACCCAGCCCTGCAAAGACGTGAGTAGGGCAGAGAGCGTGAGGAGGGAACGAGTGTGCCTTGTTAGAGAGACAGCAAGGAGACCCGAGGGGTTGCGAGAGTCGGAGTGAGGCAGAGGCGGAAGCAGATGAGGTCAGACAGGTAGGCAGGGGCCAGATCCCGTTGACCTTGGGGGCTATGCTGAGGACTTCGGGCATTTTGCTCAGTGTGGTAGTGGCCAGTGGACCATTTTATGCAGGGGTGACATGATCGGATATATGTTTTAAAGGAGACTAATTTAGGCCCAGCCTGGAAGTTGCAGAAATAAAGTGACTATGAGGTTGCGTCCTCTGTCACAGGGTCATTCCACAAAAAGGAAAGGAGGGCCTAAGAAGGGAATACTCCTGGGAGGGGGAGTCACAGGCTAGAGAGCCACAGGAGGCTGCCAGGAGGAGGTGGCATTTGAGCCAGGCTTTGAAGAGTGGACAAGATTACCAACTGTGCGATTATGGGGAATGTGCTGATCTCTTTAACCCCCAGTTTCTTCGTCTGCCAAATCAACGTGATACTAGAATTACCTCGTTATTGTGACCGGAGAAGTAACCAAGAAGGGTCGAAGATAAAGGTGGAGAAATAAGGAACAATTAAATTATGGAGACATCACATACTGATAGTAATAGCTAAACTGATGCTTTTAAAGGGCCTACTGTTGCTTCAGGCAATAATCTTTCTTACAACCCTATAAGATAAATAACACAGGAGGAATCTTAGTGGTAAGAAGAATAAAGCAAATTGCACAAGGTCATGCAGCCAATGAGAGGCAGCACTGGAACTGGAACCCAGGCAGTACGCTTTACGCTCCGGGGCTCCTGTCTGATGGGAGGTAGTAGACTGTCACAGCGGTTTCGGGCTCTGATGACAGATCTAGGTCAGGCCTTTGCCCCACTGTTTTCAAGCTGTGTGGTCTTGGCCAAGCGACTTCATGTCTCTGAGCCTCAGTTTGCTAGTGCCTGGGTTGCTTGCTAGTTAATTCATGTAAATGAATATAACGAAATGAACATAAATGAAGTAATTCGTGGGTTGTTTAGCACTGTGCCCGCCATAAAATATTCTCCTGCTGAACACCAGCCATGATGATTATTCTTGTTAGTATCCACTGTAGGCAGCAAGTAAGTTGGAACCAATCACTGTGCTTGCAGGATTGACCCGTCAGATTTTGTCACAGTACTACTGTGTCACAAACTGTCCCCAAACTCTGTGTCTTTGAACTCCTTGTCATGTATGACTGCTCATACATTTGCAGGCCAGCTGGAGGGTAAATGCTTTAGGCTGGGCTCAGCTGGAGAGGCTTTGCCCTGAGGATGTCGCATCTTTCCTGGACCAGCAGAGCATGTTCTCCTGGTGACAGCAGAAGTGCAGGAGGATGAGCCAGCACGTGAGGCCTCTTAAGGCCTAGGCTTGGCCCTCTCCTTCCTACCTCACTCTGCTGGCTGAAGTGAGTCACGTGGCCAACCCAGAGGAAAGGAAGGAGACACATGCTCTGCCTCCAGTGGAAAGACCAGCGAGGTCACAGGGCAAAGACTATGACACAGGAAGGAGTAGGATGGGGCCACAAGTGCAGTATACACGGGATGGCAAGGACATCCATTCTGCTCACGGTTTGTA